TTTATGTAAAACCACAGTGCTTTATTTCGCTAGTGCATTCTCATTAGAATTGATGAATGTAACTCTTGACTTCGCCTTTTCTATACTTTCGCATTCGGGTGAGCGGTGTGGTGACATCTTAAGCCTTTGATGGTTATGAACGAGTTCAGCTCGCAATCAAATTGTGCTTCATAATGCACGCAAACGAGTTCCGCTCGGGAGCAAGATTTCGACCGAGATGGTTAGAAACGAGCACTACTTCACATAGTGAAATTTTTCCCCAATGCTCGCTGACGAGCTGAGCTCGTTTCGCCGTTATTATTCTGCATTGATTGTGTTTAAAAACGAATCCTACTCACGAAATTTAGTTAGTTTTACTGTTTACAGATGGCACTGTACGGGTTCCATGAATTTCTTTTCATAATGAAGGGTGGAAATTTTTTTTTACCTTGTTTCATTTTATGCATATTTTGGCCCATCTTTTAGGGTGTTTGTAAAATAAAATGGCTCAGAAGCGAAAGTTTTATATGATTATGATTGTGATACAGAAAGCTTATCAAGTTTTGAAGTCTGATGAAGACTTTGTTCACAGTATTTCAAACTCAGAAGACGATTCAGCGATGAGGAAGATTTTTCGAGTGTTTGACAGTGGTGTAGAATGATTCAATTCTCACGCTCCTAGCCGATTTAGTTTACTTGTGATGTAGGCATGAAAGCTTGCATGACAAATATTTCTGAAAATTCTCTATTAGAAAGAACCTACTAGACGATGTGTGGTATGTTGCAGCAAAAATGATGCTAATGGAAAAAGAATTCGCCGTGAAACACGTACGTATTGCAAAGACTGTAATGCCCCATTATGTGCAATTCCATGTTTTAAAGTATATCACACACAAAAAGATTTTTAGGTAATTACTGTATTTATACTGTGCTCATAAAGTTTTACATTAGTTGTATTTATTTAGTCCTTTCAATTTAATATTTGTCTTATATTTATAATTAACTACTATTATTTATATAATTGGTTATAATCATTTATAATTTACTGTTTAATAATTATTTTAAAGTACGTAAAAACTGTTATTTATGTACTACAAATACTTTAAGAAATTTTTAAAATGCGCGAGGCGAGCTGTCTACGGCATTGCCAGAGAAAGGTGACATTTTCGGAAGAACGGCGGGGGAAAACAGCTGCCACTTTCGACTACTGTTTACTTCTAATGTTGCACGAATTAAGTAAATGGAAACTGCTCATTTCTATAACCGTCAAAGGGTTAATTAACTTAATTACCTGGAGTGGCCTCAGGGCATAAAATTGAACTATCTGGTAAAAATGATATGTAATTGTATGCCGGTATTGAAAGAAACAATCAATCTGATAAGAAATGGCTGCGACTTGTTTTGAAAATGAGGCATAAAAGGTTACCATCAAGGATATTCCGTTTGACATCAGTTGTACCATTACTGGCGACTTTATCGCCAGCGCTGGTAAAACGGAAAAGTACCTAATAATTTTCTAGATATATTCCAATGCAATAATAAATGTTTTTCTTATCTTTCCTTTTTCATTTGTCAGTTATTTATCTAGTTTTATGAAAAGTAAATACAACTATAGTATTTTCTAATGAAAAAAATAATAATAAATAAATAAATAAATAAAATGCAGTTAATTATTCTAGTTGTATATGGGAGTAAATTATTTAAATAACAAAGCAAAATAAAAGAAAATTATTTCAAATTGCAAAAATATTATGGAATTTTGGTACTTTTCTTCTACAGTGGTCCCATAGCCTTATTGAGTTTTCGATGCCTTTTTTTTTTTTTTTTTTTTTTTTTTTTTTTTGCACTCCATCTCCAGCTAATTTCTAGAGTAATGTATTAAAATAATGATAAAACATTAATAAGGGATTAAAAAGAAGATATGTGTGCAGGTTTTGATGGTTATATAATTTACAAATATGTACAACATCAAATCTCTCTGAAAGATCGAAACATGGTATGGGCAATGTAGTATTAACTATCATAATGGCGGGATTTAGAATTATTTGTAGTTAACTATATTAGTAGACTGATCTCTTCATTAACTAATTCAGTACTACTCTTATATATGCCGTAGGTCGCCAAATGTGGCGATATGCATTCTGAGCTGGTTTTTGGCATGATGTTGTTCGTATAGCATCCCTTTTGACATTGAAACTTGATTTTGCTGTAGTGGTTTTATTTGCTGGTTGGTTTGGTGGGCGTTTTGAAATGGCTTATGGCTGTCAGCAAAGTTTAAGATTTCGATCATGGTTTTCGTGTAGTAAGTTAACTTTGGAGGAAGTATTTTTCATTACTTTCAAAATTTTTAATCGCAGAGAGACGTGTGATATGAAAAAATCATGGCGTTTTTGTTCACAGACGTTGTATGACTAGCTAAATTTTATTCACGAATGTACGCTGGACTTTGTATGCCTGTGTCTCAGAAGATAAGGGAGAAGGATAAAAAAAAAAGGTGGAAATTGATGAGTTTTGATGATGTTTGAAATCAATATTTATGCTGTTTGAAGAGGCATTCATAATGGTAAGTGCATTTTATTTTATTGTTGTTCTTATTTTGTAGAATGTTATGTTCATTGTTTTTTTTTTTTTTTTTTTTTTTTTCCCCTATGAATTTCTGTTGTTATTGTTGTTTTTTGAATTGTTTGTAATTTATTTAATTATCTCCTTTGAGCGATGCCGAGATTGTACAATTCACTGATGTTTTCTTACATTAAAACAGAATGCTGTGTACATGGTATTGTTTGAAATTTATTGTTGTAATGTTAGTTTATATTAACAAGGTGTGCATAATTCCTAGATTCCTATGCTGCATAGATTGTGCAATTCTCTGTTTTTTTTTAAAGTTAAAACAAATCACTGTGTACATGGATTCTTGTTAAATACTTTTAGTTAGAAACTTTATGTTTTTGCTATCTAAATTTTTTGTTTCGGATTTTTGGAGTAAATTATGTATTAAAAACGTGGTTTTTGCAGACATTTTAGGTTTAAATGTAGGCAAAAAATTTAGATTGTGGCGCCTTGAAATTTCTCTATAAAAATGTTTGGGGACAAATTTGTCGCCAACCGAGGGCACATATAAGATAGTTGCACTAATTCTAATTTTTTGTTACAAATTTGATAAAAGAAACTAGCTCAAAATCAAGTTTGAACTAGTTAAAATAATTTTGTCTGTTATAAATGTTCAAATTTGTTTTCATACCACATTTTTTTCTGTTAAACATCATGAACATTTAAAAAATTTTAACACGTATCAAGAAATTACATTTTATAAGAAAAAATTAATATGACTGATTATATTCAAAAATATTTTGCAAAAGGCAGTATGTAATATTATATGAAAATAATTAGGAAAAGAAGAATCAGATGTACATTTCTACAGTTTACAAAAATATGCACCATCAAATTTCAGTAAATAATGCTTAAAATAGTCTGCACAATCCAATCCAAGTCATTTAGTAGGTGGAATCTTAAAAAATTTGGCAAGGCTACAGGGCTGCTATAATAGAAAAATACTAGAATTTCTGTTAAAAATAAAACCTGTATTGATCAGAAAATTACCACTGATCATATCCCTCAGGGCTTGAATATCTCTGTCTCTCCATGATGGTTTCTCCATTAATTCTCTTTCAGCTTTCTTTAATAACTCAGGGCTAAGATCAGAATTGTCAAATGTGATGCTTATATCTGTTCCACCCCCTACTGACTGGTTGAACACAGCCATGGTGTTTACTGGTTATAAGAAATGAGAAAGAAATCAAACAGATGGCTATGAACATATAAAATGTACTTTCTGATTATCTGCCTCCACACAAAAAGTTGGCAATTTTGTGAATCAGTAAAAATATTTATATTTGACTATGTTTACACTTGACATGCGCTATTTGGTTTATTAATATTATTAATAATAATAATAAAAGCCTTTTCTAACAAACATAAAATTTTAAGAGTAAAAGCAAAAATCTATTTATATTTTTATAGCCACAGAATATTGCTCAATGAAATAATGTTTAAATATAACTATGCCAAAAAAAAAGACATATTATTAAAGTCAAAACTGGAGATGCAGATAATGAAAAAGTATCATTTAATTTAATACATTAATAATAATTTAAAGTATATTTTTAACTTTACAAACTCATATAAGCCACAGAAAAAGTTCATAAAATCAATATTTTGTCAACACAATATAGAAAATAAATAAATTTTCTATTAACTCCATCATAATAGCTAGTTTTTAGGCTTGGAAACTGACTACAATATTTTTTGTTCATAAAAATATAAAAAACATAAAAATACTTTTTAATGAAAATGTAGCATATGAATTAATAATATTTTTTAATGATCATAAAGAAACAGATTTTTTTTTTAATTTGTTCATAAAACATTTATAAGACACAACTAACACACATGAAAAAACAAAGACTTTAAAGATTTATTAACTTTCCCAAATTGCTATCAGCATGCTTTATTGATAAAATGAGCAACTAAAGAATCAACAATCAGTTGCAGAATATAAAAATTCTTTTAAGTTATGTTTGGCTAAGCACAAGTTCATATTTTTCATTGCAATTTTCAGACCAGAATAACAGAATTGCACCCATCAATAATAAATACTCTTTTGAGGACAAAATGATCTTTTAATTGAATATCACACATCTTTACGTTATTTTTTACTTAAAATAGCACAATCGAGGTATGACTCAACTTAATTTCTTAAGAAAAAAACAACAGAACGGTTATTACTAGTTAAAATTACTAGCCAAACCTACTATACACTTGTGACCAAATCAGAATAAAATTATTTCTGACCACTTTGCAATTCACAAAAGTATGCAAAAGGAAAAACATACCGGTTTTACAATAAGGATTTCTAATTTGATAAATACTAAAGCTTTTGAAGGATTATTATAAAAAATCAATAATTCGAACTTTTTAATGACTTCGAAAATTCAGTATAGAAAACTGTAACTAACCTGCAAGCAAAAACAAAATATTGCGATGACAATTCTTTTACCATAATCCAAGGAGGTTAGAATACATGGAGATGCCCGGCGCGCAGTCCAAGTGAAGCCAAAAAGGGGGGGAAAGCATGCCCTTAGTAGTCGTGGCTTTAGAAAGATTGACGAGCTCTTCAGCCAATGAGGCAGAACCTAGCCACACCCAGTTTCGTAAATTAAAGACCGGATTCTTCGCGCGCTTTTTCCTTCACTTTTTCCCGCCATTTCATTTCTACATTTTCTATCATCTTGTAGACGGCTGCAATATTGTTCCGAGAAGCAATTTTTATTCCTGCCAGAATGGTAAATTCCTGCGTTGCTTTCGGCTGTACAAATAGAAGAATAGCAGGATCCGGTATTACATTTCACAGGTAAATATTCTTTTAACATATATACTATCATTTATTTAATTATACTTTGCTCAAAGTTAGATAAAAATTTGCTGTGCATGTTTAAAACATATCCAAGGAAAGCGGCTGCAAGTGCTGATAATTGTATCAATTCTAATGATTATCAGGATATGAGCAATGCTCTTTAATTACCTTTATACTGTAAAATGAATGTTATGTTTTTCTCTGCACCTATATGCAAACAGTCATATATGGAAGCATTATAACTTCCCGCTAGTAATGATTAAGCATTTATATATGCATTTTTCTGACAAAATTCAAAGCATGTTATTTGGTAATAAATTTATGCTTCTAACTTTTACCTTTTTTTATATATTAGTACTTTTACAGAATCCAGTAATTTAATGCGGGGAAGGTATGTGGCTATAGTTGCCTTACATGACCGAAATATAAATATGAGTTATAGTTAATTTGCTCATAATTTCTAAATTATTTATTTTAAAAAATCCAATTTTTGAAATAAATAACAAAAAAGAATGTAACCTTGTTCATACATTTCATAATAAATCGGTTTTCCTAGAACTTTAAAATATAATTTGTATGATTTTATAATATTAAATTATTATTTGAAACCTATAAATAAATCATAGTTAAGTGGAAACAGTACTTTGTCTGCATATGACCAAAATAACTGAGGGTATAGTACAATAATTATAACTGGTTCTTGCACTTGTGTACCATAAATATTTTTATGTACCATATAAAAGAACCACTCTCTTCGGGTTCCCTTTAGTAATCTCCATCCTGACAGAAATGTTAATTAAAAATTGTTGAATAATTAATGCACATACACTGCTATTTGCTTAGGAGACAGATGCGTTTGTAGTTTGTAGGCCTTCTTAGAGTAACTGATTCATATTCATATACTATGTGAGATGTTAAGTTTAAATTATGTTGAATTATGTGAGAAGTTAGCATTAAACATTTTGTAAAATTATCCATATTTCAAAAGAATCAATCTTTAAGAATTTGACTATCTTAATTTTCAGAATGTTGAAAATTTTTTCCCTCTTACAGGTTTTAGATCATGATTAAATTTATGATACTCACCAACATAGTTTGCTTTACTGTATTTAGAATGTTTCACCAAAGATTGCTGTTCGAATGATTTTTTGTCGTGGGGCTATATTTCACCCCTCCTAAAGCTACTATTGCTCACCATTGGCTCATTGATAATTGTTGTACTTACACCAAGATTTAAAACTCAACATCTCACATACTGCATGAATATGAATCACATACCATAAAACGGGCCTTCCACAAAGGCATCTGTCTCATAAGCAAATAGCTGTGATGCTTTGCATTAATTAATCAAAAATTTTAATTTATTTATGCACTAAAATTATTTGGTAATTTTATATGCCATTTCTGTATTGCATCATGTACTATATTAATCTATCATGTACTATACTAAAAATTCGATTTTAGATTGTTTTAAAACATTTATTTTTATACTTCTTCAACATATGGATTTTTCTTTTTCAGAATTCCTAAAGATCCAATGTTAAGAGAAGCATGGATTCAGGCAATACGGCGTAAAGATTGGAATCCTTCTGCAAATGCATTTCTCTGTTCTGAACATTTTAAAGAAGAGGATTTCAATAAAAGATACGCTAGCCACCTTGTAACGCTTAAAAAAAGGGTGTTGTTCCGAGCATCTTTAAAGAATTTCCATCTTATTTGCAGAAAGTTCAAAAGGTATATAAGGATGTGTTTTATTTTTTAATAATATTAAAGCATAATTAACTTAAACACACCAATCAAGTATTAATTTAGAATTCAAACAAAATCACTGATTTTTGTTATTTAAATTCTAAATTAATATTAAAGAATGTTTGTATATGATTTAGTGATATATTATGAACAGTCCTCTTCTAATTAAATAACTGTCTACCACTGGTAAGGCTAGTGCTACGGTTTCTCACATCTGCTTGCAAATTCAGAAATAAAACCTTTGAGGAATTTTTAATTTTTACTTTCTTTGTGCATTGCGAGATTTGGAGGGCAGGGAGGAATTAATAATCTGTTACAAGTTTGTAAAATTTCTTTTAAGTATTAAAGTCGACATATAATATTCATTTGATAGCTATTCAAGATTACAAGCTTATTTATTCTTACATCTGTTGCCCACCCAGGGGCGTAGCTAGAGGGGGGCAAGGGGGGACATCTATCCCCGGGCACAGAATCCAAGGGGCGCCAAACTGATGTTACGAAATTTTAGAATTAAATGTTTTCCATCCTTGGCAAGCAGTAGGGGGCGCGAAATCTTCAGTTGTCCTCGGGCGCTGCTGAAAACCCTAGCTACGACTCTGTGCCCACCAGCGGCCGAGCGGTAAAGTCGCTGAATAGTGGTAGTTCAGTCCGAGGTTCGAATCCCACAAACGGGCTGGCTGCATGGGCGTTTTCGTGGTTTTTCCCATGTGTAATGTGTGTACGAGCCAGTTTTCCCTTAGAAAGTCCTCCACGAAGACATCCCTCTCCTTAGGCAGATAGCCCTCAAGGCTTTGCCATAATCACACACACACAGTTCTTACATCTATAGGTTGCTGTGATTTATTATTTTGTTTGCATTGAAATTGTCATGCCATATCCCAGTTTCTGTACATAAATTTTGATTCTTCATCTGTCATCACCATTACTGTCCCACCCCCCTCAGTTTCAAACACTTTCAATAGTATATGTTTGTTCTCTATTCCAGTAAAACTGCTTTTACCTTTCAATTTTTTATAAAATAAGTTTACTCTTCTTTCTTTATCTTAGAAGTGTGCTCTTCAGAGACTTTTTTCGAAAGAATACGAGATTAAATTAGTGGATAAAATAAGCATTTAAAATATATTTTATAGCAAAAGGTTTTTCCCTTATGTTTCATTTTAAAATAAAATTATCATAATTCATTAATTTTACAAAAGAAGACTCTTTGATTCATTCCCCGGGGTGTTCTCCTTCAAAATTGAGATGTGTCTTCTCCATTCTCTTGGATGTAAAATCAGTTCCCCGCTCTAACATTGAAAAGCATTTCTGGTGACGAGTCCCTCAATGGCTGATATATATTGGTAATCCAAAACTTCGTATTTAGCAAAATGTTTTAATTTATTGTAGCAACTAATTTTCATTAATATATTTCTCTCTGAATGCATGGATTCAGATTTTTTTTTAAATCAGTGTGAAACTCTATGTTATTAAACCTTACTTTTTAAAAAGATTTTTAAAAATAATTTAATTTTTGAGAGGCCAAAAATTTTTTAAAACTGCATTCAAATAATCAATGTCCTACTGTGTAACTGATAAATGAACATATATATTTTTTAATACTTAATATTTGTAGATTTCCCTCTTTATACTGCAAAAGGAATAATGTATGTTACAAATAAAAAAATATTAAAATTACAGAAATTGTTAAGGCATTAGCTTTAAGCGCTTTGTCATAGCGATTAGCGCAATCATTACTTCTGCGAATATAAGAACATAAATGTAGAACATCACCTCCACTGTGATTATTAATTATCTCAAGAGACGATTCACTGTATATATTTAGATCAATAAGATGTTAAATAAGCTGTTCTAATGTACGTAAGTATTTCAGTGCTTTTTTTTTTTTTTTTTTTTTTTTTTTTTTTCCCACAGACTAAGAAAGTTCCATTTAAGAGACCTGCTCCTGCCAACTCAGAAACTAGAGAATTCATAGCTGATGAAACATGCAGTAATACAGAAGATTCTCCTGTAAAAAAAAAACGTTGAAAGTAAAACTGACGAAAACTTCTTTGCAACTCAAGAAGAAGGCAAAAATTCAAGTTAAAGGGCTGCAACAAACAAAACGACGCTTACAAAAGCGATTGCTTTCGTATAAAATATTTCTACTCGAATTGAAAAATAAAAATTTAATTATAGATGAGTACTATGAACTTTTGAATAACATTCCAGAAATTTCCAAAGAAATTAATTTACGTCTTAAGAAAAAACATAACAAATACTCCCCCCAACTTCGTTCTTTTGCATTAACTTTAAATTTTTTGTCACCCAAAGCATACTGTTACGTCAGAAAGCAATTTGACACTGGGTTACCACATCCACGTACCATTTCTAAATGGTATGAAAGTTTAGATGCATCACCAGGATTCTGCAAAGAAGCTTTAGCAGCTTTGAAAGCAAAAAGTTCAACAAGTCAATATCCAGTATTTTGTTCATTAATTGTTGACGAAATGGCAATTCGACAACATGTAGAATGGAATGGTGAACAGTATGTTGGATATATTGATATTGGAACACATTTAGATGGTGACGAAAGGTCTGTTGCAAAAGAAGTTTTTGTACTACTATTGGTAAATTGTATTAATAGTAACTGGAAGCTTCCAGTAGGCTACTTTTTTACAGCTGGATTAAGTGGAGAGCAGCGTGCATCAGTTATTCTTAATTGCTTAAGATGGTTAAGTGAAGCAAATGTTAATATTGTTAGTCTGACATGTGATGGATGCCGTTTCAAATTTCTCAATGATGAAAAATCTAGGCTGCAGTTTTGAATTGGATGATTTTAAAACTTTCTTCCTCCATCCCACAACACAGCAACCCATATATTTCTTCCTGGATCCTTGCCATGCTTTAAAATTGGTAAGAAATACTTTTGGGGACAAAGGTGTTCTAATTGACTATGAACATAAAATAATTCAGTGGGAACACATAGTTAATTTAAATAAATTACAAGAAGAAGAGGGCCTTCATTTGGCAAATAAATTGAAACGGCACCATGTATTTTGAAAAAAAAAACAACCAATGAAAGTAAATTTAGCTGCACAACTTTTTAGTGATTCAGTAGGTGATGCTCTGCAGTTTTGTTTAGAAAAAGAAATTCATGGCTTTCAAGATGCATCAGGCACAATACGATTCATCAAATTATTTAATAGGCTATTCGATATTTTAAATTCCAGAAGTATTCACCAGGCTTCCTATAAAAAAGCAATGTGCACTGAAAATTATTCCACTATTTTACAATTCTTCAGCGAAGCAAAGTTTTACATTGAAAACCTTTCTGGAAGAGAGAAAACACCTCTAGTACTTAGCAACAGAAAAACAGGTTTTTTAGGATTTTTAATCTGTATTGAAAGTAGCAAGGGAGTGTTCGAAAAATTAGTAAAGAAAGAAGAACTGAAGTATATACCATTGTACAAATTTAATCAAGATAACATAGAGCTTCTGTTTGGGTATATAAGATCAAAATTTGGCTGCAATAATAATCCAACTTGCAGGCAATTCATTTCTGCTTTAAAAAAAATTCTTGTTCATCAAGAACTAGAAATTAATAAAAATGGAAATTGCTCGGCAATAGAAAACTATAAAATCCTTGTATGTTCTTCACACAAAAATCCAACAGAAGGCATAAATAAAAGTAGCCGAAGAAATTTCATATTAGAAAATGAAGAAGAAACAACTCATAATGATAATATATTGGCTGAACATGATTACTGTCTTTCTTCTTATATTTCCGGCCTAGTGAATATTTAGAAGAAACTATTGCATATATTGCGGGTTTTATTGTTCGGAAAACAGAACAAACAATTTCTGCTCTAAATGCATTGAAGCACTTTATTCATCAGAAAAAAATTGGAAATTGATAGATATAAAATCTAGCGGAGGACTTATATTTCCTTCTTGGGATACCATTAAAATATGTAAAGAGACTGAGATACTTTTCAGAAGATATTTGAATATGTATCCTCTGTCAGAAATTAATACTTCTAAAGTCGAAACTATAATTACAGATGTTTTAATTAAATGTCTTGATGTAAACATCTTTGAAAGTTTAAAAAATCATGCTCTGGATACTGAACCCGAGCATAATCATCTATTCTATTTAGTCAAATGCATTGCTATGCATTACATAAATATACGGCTTCATTATGAAGCAAAACAGAACACCCTTTTTCTACACAAACAGAAAATACGACAGAAATTCACACAAAACTGGTATTGTTTAAAGGGCAGTAAGCAAATTACCAACTGCATTGAGATTTTCTTTGAGTAATTTACAGTTTTTATATTCAGATGGAATTTGTCTGCATTCTGTTTCACAAACAGAGCTTGTTATGTCTTGAATGAACTGCTCATTAATTGAAGTTATGATGTAATATACCATACTTTATTTGTTTTTTTATATATGTAATTTTATTTATGTATGTAATTTATTTTATTTTGTAAAATTTTATTTATATATATCTATGCAATTCACTTTATCATTTCTATAAATTATTGTAGCTTCATTAACGACAGATATTTCTTCCTTGAAAACTTATGTAGTTATATCCTGTTATTTTTTATAAAATAATATTATGTTATCAGCTAACTAGTAGTTACATATATCTATCATTTGTGCAATGCTTATAGTAAATTAGAATTTTACTATTGAATAAATTACTTTTCATGCACACAAAATTTTCATGAACTGAGATAACCTGATTATTTAATGATAGAAATATTGCATAACTTGTATATTCTATAACTTGCATGTCTTGTATATTTTATAATACAAAATAATGTTTGTATTTGCATATTTTATAGTTTTTATACATGATTTTTTCTTATGGAACTCTACATGTTAAATAAACTTTTTTTTTTTTTGAATAAAATAAAAATGCTTATGATTAATTTTTTATTTTTGAACAAATCAGCACCAGTCAATCTTTAACAGTGAAATCTTAATGTAAAAGTAGGCAAAGTGCTATTAAAATTCCTAATACATATGTGAAATAAATATCATTTGACTTATATATGTATGAAATAAATGTAAAAACTAGACTGAACTTCCTAGCAAAAATTGAAAGATAAAATGAACTAATCATAGTTTACAAATTGAATTACTCTGAAATGCAGAGGAAAAATATATGTACAAAGGGACTGATTCCCTTAAAAATGAGTTAAATGAGAAATGCATTATGTAATTACATGCTGTCATTAATGAATGCTAGCAATAAAGGTATTGTGAAAATAAATAAATAAATACTCAAACCATTAATTGATTATATTTTAGTTATTCTAAATATATACAAGTATAATTCTCAATTTTCCATGTTAGAAATACTACTTACGTTTTGAAAAATATTAAATTGCATGAACAATGATAAAAAATAATATTTAAATTCTGCATTGTTATTTTTAAAACTCCCACAAATTTCACCCCAAATTAAATCCTGTTATTAAATATTTACTTGCACAGAAATAAAATTAAATACATAAAATATGACTTGTAATATAATATGATCACACCTTTAAAATAACGCGTTTTCTTTTCCACGATGAGCTGACCACTCCCCCTTCCCTTGTTTACTTACCGTTTTGCTTTTACAACTCAGTTAATTACAAGTATAATACTCAAACCATTAATTGAAGAAAAATCTGATAATTATAGATGTTTCTTCGCGCACGTCACACAGAGAAAATACTCAAACTCTTTGCTGACGGCTTTTCAAACGCACATTTCAATTATTCTACTTATTTATGCATGTTAAAAAAACATTCTTTTATATTGAAATGAAATCCGAAATGTAGACATTATTTCAATGTAACCATTCAGTACCTTATAACCCTCTCACGTCTTCACATAAGAAATCAGAAAACACACTCAAAAACTTCAAACAAGCTGACGTTTAACCTCACTTCACATAGTAAGGGAAGCGTTTTCTTGCCCTCACGAGGCGTGGCTTATTTGCTTCCCCCGGCTTCACTCTCCTCGTATTGCGACAGCAGAGACGCCATCTCCATGTATTCTAACCTCCTTGCCATAATCAAACATCGCCAAAATGTCAAAACAAACACTCTTGTTGCCATTTTCTATAAACTAAAATGAAACAAAATTCTTTTTCTCATACACATGTACGAGAAATTTATTTATTTATTTTTTTCATATTCACGTGACATAAGATAGTGAAACAAATTTTTGTAAATAGCTCGATATTATCATCTGCTTGTTAATTATTTATTTATTACATGATAAGGCATGTTAGCTTTGCATAAATACAAACGATATGCTATTAACACAATCCGTGAGTGGTAACAATACTCATTTTCAGCTTATTCCTATTCAAAAACGAATATTCTTTAAAAACTTGTGTTTTAGAATGCAGGATTCTCTCAACTTAGCTGGTAGAATTATATGCTGTAAATAAAAACGTCTTTATTTGAGAATATTTGATGTGTAATGTTTCCTTTGGGGAGCTTGGGAGTAAATGGTAGATAGTTTAGTAGCAGAAATTTCGGTGAATTTTCGGATTGCATCTTACACTTGAACACTGTCTGATTGTGAAGAAAATTGTAAATAAATCTGGCAATATGCTCCAGTGAAATCAAATGCTAACTCACAAGTTCTCGCTTACAAAAAAAAAAAAAAAAAATTCGTGGTCAGAGCTGTAAGTAGCTTTGAAGTTTTGTGTTTGCTTGTAAAAACCCCTTGCTTGTAAAAACACATTAAATATTCCAACAAACCATTTGCTTGTAAAAACACATTAAATATTCCAACAAAACTATGCTGAAACATGTTTTATGACAATTAATATCATTTTGATGGTTCGAACAATTTAAGGGAGCCCGTGTTTTACTTTCAAAGCAAAATACATAGGTGCACTAACACTATTATAAAAACAATCGTTGTCGTTGTATGAGATGGGGGATCGCTGAATCATAATAAATGAATTGGTGAAGATGTTACACATTTCTCAAGGCAGTGAGTGCATTCAC